GGCCAGCGGGCTGCGGTCGCCGTGGGCTCGCTCGGGACCCGGCCTAACCTCCACCCAGGCCTCCCGTCGGGCCACAGACACGGGAAGCCGCGGAGCGTTTACCAAGAGACCACCGAAGAAAATACCTAGACCGTAGTGAGGAGAAGGAACGGGCTGGCCTCTTAAAGGAAGGACCTTACTGGAGTGCTAATGAAAGGGATTTAGCTCTATTTTGTCACTTTTTGCAAGCAGGATACAAAGAACACACACGGCTGAATGCTATAGTGGAAAACTGAATCGTTAAAGCAATCATGAAATACTACCTATTTGTTTGTTTAAAAAAAAAATTTGGCATAGTTATCAAGGGCAAAGGATGACAAGAGGTCCCAGTGCTTCCTTTCATTTACCTTCGGGCCCTTCCTGCCGCCGCACAGCCCGACTCCGTCCCGGGCCTTCCACTGCGGACCCAGCTGCACCGCTTCGAGCGATTTTCTCTGTGCAGTATTTGCAGAGTAACGTCCTGCCAGAAAGTCACAGAGAACGTTTTTGAACTCTAATGTATGCCATGACCCATTTAGCTCCATTTTCCTCTTTGGTAAGCAGTTGACGCTTTTTGCCAAAAGGGTACTTTTTGCAACTAGCCTTAAGAAAATGAGTTCCCCCAGATGGAACAATACTAGTGAAAGGGGAAGAAGGAGATTTGTTTCTAAGGCTGTACAAGTGAATGCACCACAATATATAAGTTGATTGATCTCTGAGGAAATGCAGTTGCTGGTATTCACATCTATCATTGAGTCTCAAAGCGTGGTCCAGGAAGTCCAAGGGGTCCTTCGGATCTTTTTAGAGTTCCTTGAGGTCAAGTTACTTTCATCATAATAATAAGACTTTCCTTTTCTACTTTAGAGACCGAGTGATGTGTGATGACATCATCACTGTAAAGGCTAAGAGGATGTGTGCTGGTATATTTTTGTGTTTAAAAGCTTTTCAGACTTAATTTCTAATATGGCGTTTATCAATAGATATAACCCACAAAAATAAAGTCTCAAAAATAGGAGTCTTAAGACTAAAAGGTGAGAACTTCTAATGTACGTAATACAATTATGTAGTCCCCTCATCATGACTACAGAGGGAACACTAGTCCTCTTGGCGATTGCTTTGCATAAACATTCAGTGCTTCAGAAGAAGAAAGAGAAGGCCACTTACTGTCCCTTGCCTGAGGCTTGCAAACCTGAATTGCGTTAACCTGTAAATCATTGGTTCTGAACCTTTTCTTTGGTATAAATTTCAGACACTTCAAATATTTGCAGTGTTGGGCATTAACAAATAATTGTTCTTGAGTTTGGTAGAAGCTATTTTTTACTATTTTTCTCTAAGAGGCCAGGGTAGGCAGAATTCTAGGACTAACCCCTGCCCTTGTATAATCCCTCCCCCTTTGAGTGTGGCATAGAACCCAATATGATGAGATAATACAACCGTTATTGTTACATTATATGGCAAAAGTGAGACTGTCCAGGTGGGCCCCATCTGATCACACTAGCCCTTGAAAGGCAGTGAATTTTCTGCTGATAGCAGAAGAGGCAGTTAGCAATGCTTGAAGACTGAGAAAGACTTGGCCTGCTGGGGCTAGAGGGGCTCCATGCCAAGGTTGGGGCACCCTGGAGCCGTTGAGGCTCACTCTTGGCTGACAGGCAGCAAGGAATTGGGGATTTCAGTTCTACAATCACAAAGAACTAAATTCTGCTAACGGCTTAAAGGAGTTTGGAAGTCGATCCTTCCTCAGAGCTTCCAGACAAGAGCCTAGCCCAGCCAACACCTTAATTTCTTCTTGTGAAACTCTAAGTAGAGAACCCATCCAAGCCCATCTGAACTTCTAATCTACAGAACTATGAGCTAAATTGTTATAATTTTTTATGCCGTTAAACTTGTGGTAACTCATGCAGCAATAGGAAACTAACACAGAGGTAAATAGAATATACAGTGCCCTCCCCCTAAAAATGTATGCATACTTTAACAGCTGATAGCTCAGTTTTGGAAATGAAATGTATTTTAATACATACTGCCTTTATAATTATTCAAAATGTGCATATACATTTTTGGGGGACACTATATTTTACAAATTGAAGTAATATTTACATAATATGAGATTACCCCTTAAACCTAGTTAAGTGTACAAGCTGGTGTAATTAGTACATTCACAATGTTGAGTGACTGTCACCTCTGTCTAGTTCTAAGACATTCCTCCTGGCAAACACTAATGTGCTTCTGTCTCTCTGGATTTATCTATTTGGGTTAATTCATACAAATGGAATTATACAATGTGAGACCTTTTATGTCTGGCTTCTTTGATTTAGCATAACACTTTCAAGGTTCAGTGACATTGTAGTATGTATCAGTACTTCATTCCTTTTTTTAACTGAAAAATATTCCATTTTATCTATATAACACCTTTTTTTAATTCTTTCATTAATTGATGGACATTTGGGTTGTTTCAACTTTTTGGCTAGTGTGAATAGTGCTGCTATGAACATTTGTGTGCACACATTTCTTTGAATACCTGTTTTTAATTCTTTGGGGTATATAGGAGTGGACTTGTCAGCACACTTTATAATTCTGTGTTTAACTATTTGAGGAACTGCCAAACTGTTTCCCACAGACCCTGCACCTTTTAACATTCCCACCCCCAATGTATAAGGGTTCCAATTTCTCTCCACATCCTTGCCAACACTTGTTATTTCCTTAAAAAAAAAAAAAAAAAAAAATCCATTCTAGGGAGTATAAAGTGGTATCTCATTGTGGTTTTGATTTACATTTACCTAATGATTAATGAGGTTGAGTATCTTTTCATATATTTGTTAATCATTTGCATGTCTTCTTTGGAGAAATGTCTATTCAAGTCTTTTGCCAG